TAAAATATGCCACAAAAATAAAAATATTTATTGGGTACTTCCAATTAAAGAGTTCAAATTAACATAATGAAAAAATACTATTCTATTTTTCCATTTTAGTTAACGCAGCAAACTATTGTTGACTTTTATTTAATATACTCCTGCTTAGGCCATTTATTAAAGGAAAAGGGGTACTTAACAGACAAAAGGGTAATTCACAATTTAGTGAAAATACAATGATATGCCATTATAGACTACATCGAGCAAACATAATAAACCACTGATCCCTCTTAGGTTCTTTGTGTCATTTATTACTATGAAAAACAAAATTATAACCTTGCTTGAAGGTGTTCTCAACAAGGGGAAAGGGAAAGGGACCTCTGTAATTTGAAGTTCTAAAATTCAGTTAAAGTGTAAATATTTACTCTAAAATGGGGGAAAGGGCTGTGATTTATATTGAGCCTTACCACAATCAGGGGAAAAAGAGTCACCCTGACAGAATTTATGCAAAGCCATAAAGTCCCAGGGAGAATCTACAGACTAGGATCATATAGGATATTTTATCTGATGGCAACAGGATAAAATTAGAAGTTAGCTGTACAGCTGCGATATCCCTTAATTCATAGAAATCACTAAACAGACTTCTAAATGTCTTCCTGGTTATGTAGGTCCAGGGATTACATTTTTTTTTTTTTTTTTTTTTTTTTTGCTTCCAGTCAGAACAGTAACCAGGCAAGCCCTTCCACAGAGTGACTGACATCTGCCAAGAGGCAAAGGCCTACACTCTTTATTTGCCTTCTGCGTGAGCTCTGTGCCTGTTAACTTCTTTGTTCTCTGAGGATATCTCCTCTGGGAACTGAGCCTCCAGGCTACCACACAGGTTAGGACTCCAAATGGTGGGCTGGGGAGATGTGCATATCGTCCAACTACGAGGATCTGAGGTCAGCAACAAAATGAAGGCCAGGAGTGTTGGCACTTGTCCCTAACCCTAGTGCTGGGCTTTGGGAGGAGATGTGAAAGGGGCAGCTAGATCGTTGCAGTCTGCTGGCCTGCCAGTCTCGTCAAATTGGTAAGTTCCGGGTTTGGTAAGAGAGACTGTCTCATAAAACAAGGTGGAGAGCAATAGTGAAAGAAAAAGGAATTCAACCTCTGGCCTCCAGGGGCACATGCATCAACATGCACACGCATACACACCACATGCATCAGCATGCACACACACACACACATACACACCACATGCATCAACATGTACACACATATACACATCACATGCATCAACATGCACACACACATACACACACTCAACAAATACACATAGAATAAACTCCAAATGGCGAAGCCCAGTACAGGGGTCACAATGCAGAGGCTGCAGGAAAGCCCCAGCTAATATCCAGAATCAACTGCCAGCTATGTGAGTAAGCCTTCAGATGAAGGGTCCAGTCCCCAGATGACAAATAAGCCACACCCAGCCTTCAAGCTTTCCAAGGAGAAGCCCCAAAAACAACAGAATTGGGATTGAGTCACCATTATTGTGCCCTTTCTGAGTTCCTAACCTACAAAATTTGTGACCATAATAAAAGTGTTGCTTGGGGGTGATTTGTTACACAAAAATTATACAGGGAATATGAAGGTGATAGAAAATTTTCCAATATAAATAAAACAGAAAAAAAAAAACATGGTGAGATTTGGCTAGAGTAATGATAAAATGATTGCTCTAATATAAACAGGAGGGAAAAAATTAACTGATATAAATGAAAAGTAAGAGAGAAAATGGTGCTGGGTGTGAACACTCAGGAGACAAAAAAGACACAATGATCATGAGTTCTAGGCCAGCCTAGGCTACATAGCGAGACTCTGTGTCCAATCAAATAAAGAAAAGAGCCAAACCTAAATTGGTCCTTAAAAACAAAATTTCATCAACTAGTAACTCTTGATAGGACAAAACATACATATACACACAATAATAATAATAATAATGATAATGATAATGACAACAACTAGCTATTACTATCAGAACAAATAAAATAAATTTGTCATTTATTTAATTTAATCATTAAAAATAAGTATCATGAGGTCAGTGGCAAATTCCACCAAATCACTGACACTGACTTGAAAATACATAGAAAATCTGAAAACCTTGGTTCTACAAAAGAAAATAAATTTATTGCCAACAACTCACAAGAAAACTTCAAGTTCAGGTGACTTCTCTAAGTACTATCAAACACTTAAAGAAGACCTAATACAAACCTAGAGAGACAAACACTCTTCCAAACACCCACAAATGACACACAGTGCATGTGTAGATATGTAAATATGAAATACTATCAGTTTAAAGTTTGAACAACACCAACTAGAATTCATGTTACAATTGATAGTATATGAGTCAAGAGACGACAATCATTAAATTCTTAGCAAGAAATAAAAAATTAAATTCTTAGAAGAATCACGTCTGGAATGTCTCATTTCATCACCTCTGTTTACAATTAGCCTAAAACACACCAGCCCTCAGGGTTTTCAAGAAATATCGGCATTCCTTTCCAACTGCACCTACCCTAAAAACCAATGACAACCATCTCTTTGCATCAACCCATCAACTGGTATCTGTTGGCACTTCCAAACCGCTAAGCTTAGTTATATTAAAATAATAACTTTTGAATATTCTATTTTACACTCTCACTTTTGTTCCATAACTGCTCCATTCTATTGACTAGAAAAGGAAGTGTTTCTTGGTGAATATAAGAAGTTTCCTGAAATGGTATCTTGAAATTCGCAGGCAAGTGGATGGCACTTGAAGAAACCATCCTGAATGAGGTAACCCAGTCACAAAAAGAGGAACACAGTATGTACTCACTCATATATGGATTTTAGACCTAGATCAAATGATCACCAGCCTATAATTCACACCACCAGAGGAACTAGGATACAAGGTGTATTCTAAGAGATTCATATAAAGTCCTTCATAGAACCAGGAAGGGACAAGTCCCCCAGAGCACAGGGGAAGTGGGGGGCAGCGAATGGAGAGAGAAGAGAGAAGTAGGAGAAAACGAGGGGGAGGAGAGGAAAACACATCTGACTAGGAAGATTTAGTCTGGTTAGGAATAGAAGACAGGAGAGAGAGAGAGAGAGAGAGAGAGAGAGAGAGAGAGAGACAGAGAGACAGAGAGACAGAGAGACAGAGAGAGACAGAGAGAGACAGAGAGAGAGAGAAAACATAAAAGAGGGTTTGAAGATATTGGTTTGAAGATAAAATTGAACACAAAGAAAGGTCTAGAGAACTTATAAGACTGCCACCAACTAACAATTTGAGCTTCCGTGGAAAGGCTACCATAAATACCCTTCCCGGAGAGTGAGATCAATAACTAACTTATCCATGGAGCCCTCGACTAATGCCTGTTGGAAACAGGAACAAAAACCCATACATAAACACTGAGTCGAACTAGAACCCAGATGAAGATGGAGAGGACAAGACCAGGTGGCAGAAACACATAGAGACAGCTTACCTGAACAAGGAGGAGTTAAAGGGCCACCAGACAGATAGCTAGGAAGCCAGCATGGGACTGACTCAGGTCCCCCTGAATATGGATCTCAGCCAGAAGGACTGAGCAGTCTAAGGGACCTCAGACAGTGGAGCCAGGATGTATCCCTGGTGCACAAAAGGACCTTGGGAACAGATCCCCCATGGAGGGATAACTGCCTTAATCTAGAGACAGGAGAGAAGCCCTAGTCCCTACTTCACATGACCTGTCAGATCTACATGACCCCAACTGGATGGCATTCCCCTACATATGGAATTGAGGTGGGGGGGATGGGAAGGGAGGGTGGCTAGGGTGCATGTGAGAGGGCAGAGTGGGTAAAAGGAGGGAGGGAGGGAGAGTGAACTGGGATAGACATCTAAAATAATAAATTAAATAAAAAAAAAATGCTTTGACTCCAAAACTTAAGTTCAAGGACAAGTTACTGGGGAAAAGGATTTCTATTTTTGTTTCCACAGAAAATGAAAAGATGTGGATTCCTTCCAGACTAATGTGGTTTGATCAAGCCAGACCACTTGAAACAGAGTACCAGGTGATCCTACATTCAAAACAGCTGGACAAAGCAGCCTTACAGACTACAGCCAGGATTTCTGAATCTTCTTAGAATCCCCCATGACAGCACCCCTTACCAGCAGGAAGTAGTTTGGAAAGAACGACTCCCAAATTCCCAAATATTGTCTATAAATGTTTGTTTTCATTTAAATGGACTTGGTTATATAAAATAAATAAATAAATAAGTTTCCTGAAATCCAGGTTCATTTTTTTATGAATAAAAAGTTGACAGAAAAATGAGTTTAGCACTTTTTTGTAACTACAAAGCATGTGGGGGGGTTGGAATAAGAACAGATTATGAAAGACCAAATTGGGTTGTATAACACAACGCAATATTTGTTTATGCAAAAATAAGCTTGAGGGTAATTATTTAATATTTATAAAAAGCTGTTCATGTCTTGAAAATGATTCTACTCTCATGATTATGAACTCAATTAGATGCACCTACAGATTTCCATTCTAAACATTAAATAGGCCCTTGCCTCATGTTTATCCTGGTTTACTAATTCAAAGAGCTTCACAGTATTTAGTGTCCTTTGAAGTTTGGAAAGAATGTTATAAAACTCTTTGCCAGAGATTACAAACCTGGGTTTAACTAAATTATCAGAAAAACTATCTTGGCAGAAGTTATTAAGTTTGCTTTTGGGGTGTATGATGTAAAAGGGGGCACCTAAAAGATGAGCACTGTGCAGGCTCACAGGAAGCAGACAGTGGGCTTCGAAGGAGTCATCCGTCAATGTGTGTCCCACAGAGAAAAGGCTCACCAGGAAAGCATGAGCAACGAGCCCACAGTCCATGCATTTTTACAGGTGGGAGTTGAGGACCCTAATTTAAAATATCTTAAATGAAGAGTCAAAGTTAAAAACATCTTGCTGGCACATATATATATCTCATGCCATGGAGTTCTACTGACAAGTGAAATTAAGTGTTGCATACCTGGAGGGAGCCGTTGGATAAATAATCTTTATGTGCTGGAATGTTAAGTCTTGGGATAGCACGTTCTTGATCCACTGTCTTAGTCCTTGGCCAGAATCACCTGAAAAATTACAAAGTTCACGATCAAATAAACACTGTCATAGTACAGTGCATTTCAAAGAGATCTGTACCTCTCAGGACACTTGAAGGCTGCAATAGGGAACATGGAAAATCTCCATGTGCCTAAAAGAGCTGTTTAGATTTATCAGACAGAATTAGTTGACCAAGCATGAACAGTAGAAATAATCATTATTATATACCTGAATGTATTGTTTAACAGTTAGAATACCAAATTTAGGTTTGATTTCCAGTTTTCCTCATTTGTAATAGATATAATAAATTCTTCTAGAGAAGAATTCTTTCTATATGTTTTCTAACACTATTAACTTCCCATCTACACTTTTTAAAATGTCAGTGTGATTTACACCATTATAGCTGGTATGACCTAATACAATTTTCTTGATAAAAACAAGTCTTGAGGATGGGGGGGATGGGAGGTAAGGTATTTATTCTACTTCAAGTTTAAACTAAAAAATACAGATTTTAATTGTGCTGACATATGTATATAATGCAACAACATGATTATATACTACTCAAGACCAAAAAAAAAAAAAAAAAAGTAAGAATTAATGTATGTCTATGAGGATGGAGACAGAAAAAGAATAAGTGTGTCTTATATTACTAAAGAGAAAATGTTGAAGTTAAAGTTCACTACTTTAATTTTTTATTCCTCTTTCTGTCCCTGTCTCTGGTGTGTGTGTGTAAAACTCTGCAGGGTCATGTAAATGTGCAAAAGTCAGAAGACATCAGGTGCCCTGCTATATAACTTTCTGCCTTGCCCATTGACACAGGAACTCTCTCTGAACCTGGAGCTTGTAGTTTTTCGCTTGTTTACTTTTTGTTTTCACTAGGTTGGCTCTTCAGCAAGTCCCAGAGACCCTCCTGTCTCCCCCAGTGATGGGGGTGCAGGCATATGCAGCAATTCCCAGTTTTTTCCTGAGTGCTGGAAATACAAATCCGGGTTCTAGTGTTTGCCCACACATTCTTACGCATGGAGTCATCTCCTTAGCCCCACTTTAAAATTGTAATTAATCAATTCATTAAGACATCAATTTCAAAAGTATCTACTGAATAACCATTCATGGGCAACACTCTTCACACCATCATGTCAGTGGTAAAACAGAACATTGTGACAAACAGGCATCATCCAGTGACCAAAGACAAACATGAGAAGCAACAGTAACCATTGAGAAGGACCCACTTGGTGCCATTAGTATTTGTTACATTCAGAATGGACCCACCAACAGGTTGCAGAACAATTGGGCTACAATGTAAACTCACTGTCAAGCTTCATTTTGCTTTATCCACTAATTGTTTTTATGTCCCCTACAAATGCTCTGACATATGCAGGGTATCTGCATATGTGGAGTGGCTAGAAGCTTTGAGCTGAAATCTACAGGATGAGAAGTGAAATACTACAACAAAGGATATCAGAGGCAAAGGAAAGCAAGCCTTGACACCCAAGAAATCCAGAGCCTGGTGACATCCAAACTCAGACAAACACAAAATGGCCTTTAGGCGATCGCAGGTATAATGAATGCCACTGAAGGGAGACACGTCTAGGGGAGAAAATACTAAAAGCAACCCAGTGTGGGAGACTGAAGCAAGCAAACAACACTATCATTTATCTTATTCATGCTAAAAAAAAAAAAAAAAAAAAAAAGGTTTTTTTTTTTGGCATTTTAGAAGTAGAAAAGAGTTCTAATATACTTGGGGCATATTCCTTTATATTTTTCTACAGCTGTTATACAACCCAGGACACCTGCATAGGGTAATGAACACAGTGAGCTGGGCCCTCCTACATCAATCAACAATCAAGACCACTCATTGTAGACACAGCCACAGGTCATTTTCTCAGTTGAGATTCTCTTTCTCCAGGGGATTCCTGGTTCAAGATGACAATAAAAACTAACAGGACAGGCCTATTCCGAATAGAGCTTTTTATACCTTGATGGAGATTTAATTATATAAGAATAATATGCCTTCACATCTGGAAGAATTATTTAGATGAGTTCTTTTTCCAATGTACAAAGGAAAGTTTTATACACACACACACACACACACACCACTGTGTAAAATAAACACAGAGTGGATGACTAATTTCAGACATGCATTATAAGTAATAAAAATGTCAGTGATTTGAAATTGAAAAATAGGAAGCATTAAGCAAAGTGGTACAGAGGAAGGAGGAGGAGAAGGAGAAGAAAAGAAGGAGAAGGAAGAGGAGGAGGAGGAGAAGGAGGAGGAGGAGGAAGAGGAGAAGAAGAAGAAGAAGAAGAAGAAGAAGAAGAAGAAGAAGAAGAAGAAGAAGAAGAAGAAGAAGAAATTCTAGTTTTTTCCAAAGACATCGAATTAATTATGAGAAGTAATTACTATGTGGGAATTCTGCATGTCCATCACTGGATGCCCCTGGAGTCCTGAATAACCACGGTTCAGCTTGTTTTAAGCCTAAGTCATCAGCCATGTTTTTCCCTTCACACATGCTCAACCCTTGTCTTGTTTCCAAAGTGATACATCATAGTTCGGGGTTCCCCTTCCCCTGACTATTAATTCCGAGTGCGGCATTCGTATTCACATCCCGGCTTCACCAACACTCACAGAGACAGCAAATAAACTTTTCCAGCCCAGTTTTCAAAATGATGAGAACATCTCACATTGTTGCTAACACTGTTTCCAGTCCCTTGTGTGTGTTCTAGTCGCTCTACCCTTTTAAGCCTACACGTGTCTCAGCTCAAACACGTTCTTGGAAAACTCTGACAAGTCCTTCAGTTGCAAATGCCTTACTAATGTCCAACCACATTTTTCCCCCTTTCCTTACTATTCATTTGGCAGTAGCTCAGGCACCATCTTGTGATCCCCTCTCCACTGGTGACTGGAATTAATTGAATTGTTTTTGTTTTTAAATTTAGGTAGGCCCCCTGAGGACACCGGCTGGATCTCATTTCTTTAAAAAAAAAAAAAAAAAAAAAAAAAAATCTTTCTTTCCTGGGAACTTACCCTGGGCCAGCCAAGCACTGTGGATGTGGATGCAAGGATTAAAACAAGGGTTCTTATTCTTTCTCTAGGGGCACTCCCTGGATGGAGATGACTTTGTACTTACCTTAGATATTTAATGACACAGGGCAAAAAGGGAAATCAGGGAGGAGGGACATGAAAACGGACAGGTGGGGAGCACATGGGTGGCGCACCGTGGAGGTGCTAAACAGAAAGGACACAGGAGGCTGTAAATATGATCCAAGCTCACCGTGAAGACCACTCTGATACTGAAAGGCAAGAGAAAGGCTTATGACCAGCTCCAGGGGCCATGGGGGGTGGTATATGTCAGAACACTGGTGGTCGACACTGATTCGTGTGCCTGGAAGCTCATACAGCCACGTGGTGTGCCTGAACTACGGGGTAAGAACTGCCCTGATGACCATGCTGTGGTTGGAGGGAGTCAAGGACACCAGCGAAGGAAGCGAGATGAAGACACTGACTGCCACAGAGGAAGAGGACACCCTCCCGGGAGGTGGCAGTCTCCCTCCCGACCCTGGGCGCAGGCGGCCTCTAGCACTATGGAGCTCTGGGGGACGGAGGACAGGGTGCGCCCACAGCGGCTGCACGCGCGCCGGAGACCGCCAGACAGCAATGCACCTGAGCCGTGCAGGAAGATCAGCGAGGCACTGTGTCTGCTGGCCGGGGACACCACACATTGCCGCAAGTGAACAGCGCTGGGGTAGAAAGCCATGGCGGAACCAAGGAGCCTAGTCGCGCGACCACGCCTCTCTACGTCGCGGGACCGCGCACTTTTGCACGCAGGCGCGCAGCACGAGCATGGAATCGCGCATGCGCCGCGGAAGGCAGCTTGTGTAACCTGAGGTTGAGAGAGAGGTCTTGCTGAGAATTGCATCCCTTATAGTCAGGCTCCTCTGTTCTAATGACTGAGAACAGACTCCTTTCTAGGAATCTGCTGCAGGTTTAAAACTGCTGTTCTAAATCTTAAGATCACCCCATTTGAAGAATATTACTGCTGTCAAAAATGTTACAGATATAATCATATTTTCTATAACCTTCCACTTTGAGGCTTGCACCAGATGTCCATAGCTTTTTGCATACAGGGTGAGTTGGCCATATAATAATTGTGTGTGTGTGTGTGTGTCTTTATTTTGTTTTTCTTTTCCTTAAGGTTAACAGACAGAACTAATTTTAATGAGCGAGGACTTCACATTCCTTGGCATGACTGTTACTGTAAATGTGGGCAATGACTGGTGGGAATGAGTACAAGCTGGGGATTGTTGTGCATGGCTGATAGGAGCAGGAAGTAATTTGAAAATAAGGAATTATATGACGCATAACTTCTGGATAGGCTCCTACACCAGGATCCACAGTGGCAGTCACAGTCCACAAAGACTACACCAACTGCCACACCCATCTCCACATGGATGGATGGATGGATGGATGGATAGGATGTGTGGTATATGTGCACCAGGGGTACCTGTCAGTCCTAGCACGGTGGCATTCGCATTCATGTACTAAATAGATTGACTTTGAAGACACTGTTAGTTAAATAAGCCGGGTAGAAAGGGACAAGCATTAAGTGATGCCATCCATTTGTCTTATCTGGAATGAACACATTTATAAAGACAGACAGTAGAAGAATACTTGCCTCACAAGGTGGACCACAATGTGGGGTAGGGGTATAATCAGTGCAGAGCTTCTATTTGGGGTATTGACTCCTCTTTCTGGAAGCAGACAGTGGTGATGGTTACCTCAAATTGTTGAGGTATTTAATAGCATGGAACTGTGTCTTTAAAAATAGTTAAAAGTAGTAAAAAATGTGATTTTTGTTTAATTCTAATGATGTGCAAGATTATGAAATCATCACTTGCATAAATATTAAACATAAATAACTTTTAATAGTAAGACTGCAGCCCCGGCAAGTGGCTCTTTCTTCATGCAAAATTGGACAAAACAATCTCAGGAGAGTTTATGTGACTAAACTACATGGTAATATACACCCTTTTTAAGCAATTACAAATTGTATCTTATTCTTTTAGTGTTTGCCCCGGTCCTGAGTGACAAGCCATCTTATAGCAATTCCTAGTTGCTAGGATACATAGGACACTATCACGGTTTTGTACCAACACTGCCATTGGGAATGTGTTGTTCCTATTGACCAGCCAGATTACAAAAGAACCTAAGTCAGTTCTCTGTATTCCATAGATGCTGATGGGAGTAATGAGTGTAGAGGAGTCTTGGATTTCAGGACAGGACCAGCTCTGCTCTCACAGCCAGGGTGTAAGAGCACTGCTGTCTGTAGATCTCCTTCCTTTTGGTAGTTCTAGAGAGCACTCAGGAGTCATGCAGGAAGAGAGCAGTCTGCTATGCCTAGAAATCCATTGACTCTTGCAGAGGCTTGCTGTGAGCCACCTTGTAACAGTGAGGAAAATAATGATCAGGATGATTGAGTAGCTGTTAATAATACCATCTTTATTCTTGTTAAGAAGCAGCCTGTATACATAGCACTTACAAGATACTGAACCCTGCCACAAATAAATACCTGTATCAACTGTGGCTACCTATAATTGACAACTCAGCTCATTAGATAAGGAATTTGTCTCAGTATAACCCAGCCAGTCATTGGTAGAGCCTGAGTACACATATGTGTTACACCAGGGTCCAGCTTCTTAATCATACCCACAGTCACCCCGTGGCCTACAAAAGTAAGGCCAGGAAATACCCTAGCTGTCCTAGTTAGTTTTTATCTTGACACAGGCTAGAGTCAGCTGGGAAGAGGGAAACTCAGCTGAGGAATTACTTAGACATTGTTGGCCTGTGAACTTGTCTGTGGGAGATTGTCTTCATCTGTTTTGATTGCTATTTGGTTAGGGAGGGCCCACCCTCTGTGGGAGGCACCATTCCCTAGGAAGTAAATTTCACCCACTGAAGAAGAAAGCTGGATTAGCATGAGCCTGCAGCAAGCCTGTCCTCGGCATACTTCCGTGGTTTCTGCTTCATTTCCTGCCTGAGTTGCTGCCACAACTTCCTTGAGGACGGACTGTTACCTGAAAGTGAAGCTGAATCAAACCCTTCCTTCTCCGACTTGCTTTTGATCATTGTCACAGCAACAGATAATAAACAGGAACACCAGCTATGGTGTGACTTTTTTAATGAGCATTTCTTTAGCCTTTCTCAGATATCTTGGTGCTATATCCAACTTTCTTTCTCCAAATGAATGACTACCAGTCACAGCAGGAAGTCAGTGGGGAGTGGATTCCCACATGCAGGCTAGGGGTTGGCCTCTCACCTGGAACTTGACCCTTTCTGAATTTAAAATCACTATTCTTCCAAACCTAATCACAGTGCTCTTTAATTTTTCCATGATTCGAATAGGGAACTATTGTTGCTGCTCCTTTTATCATTAGTTATGGAACAAACAGAGGGGTTTATATTCCTATATGCAGAGATGTCATCTGGCAAACACACTACTGATGGTTTTTTTCTTTCTTGTTGTGTCATACTTTGAAATGTAATTAGGTTTCAGGCTGGGTGGCTGCCTCTTTTATGACAGATCTTTTGCTCTATTGAATTGGGGGTGGGAATATTCCTGGAGGGTCTTTATTCCTCCATTCTTCCTTTGTTTCTATGCTTTCTTCTTTCCTCATTACTGCTCATATGCTTTTATCCAGTCTGTCCATCTACACTGATACATCCCTTTTGATAATATCAGTTCTAGATCAGAAAAGCTAGTATGGGGAACCAAGGAAAAGTAAAGAAAAGGAACAAGAAAAAACGTTTCACTTTTTCAATTTTTTTTCATGTCTATCGGGATGAAAACATACAAGGTAAAGATGGGCCTTTAATCCCAGGAATTGGGAGGCAGAGGCAGGCATTCCCTCCCCCACTGCCCCTGCTGAAAAAGGTGCAAGGTCAGAGTTTAGTGTCTTGTGCAGTGTTTAAGAATTCTTTAAGGTACATATGTTGTCTTTAAAGAACATGTAACTACTAAAATGGGCCCTGTTCTCTTGAGGGAAGGAGGCTAGTCCTTTAAGTTGTTGGGGTGAGGGGTAGCCACAACATCCTAGAAATCATATATAAGGGAAAAAAGAAAAACAAAAAGGTATTTCACTGTCAGAACAGTACAGACTTTCACATTTGTTTACTATAGCCGTGTAAGTTGAAATGCTCTAACAGGAATAAGGATTTCTAGTCCCTGGAGGGATAACACCTGTGTGCCTCTAGACAGACCCCTATGTCTTACTGGACACATTCTCCAGCTGCATAATAAGGGAACCAAGCTTGACAATCTTGATGAATTGGGGATTTTTGGACTGAAAATCTCACATATTCAGCTCTCTACTATTCCCATGGTGATGTCTAAAAGTTTAAAAGAATATAGATAGAATGGATGGCTGGTTTGAAGGCAATCCTTGCCATTTATTTTGTCCCAGTATGGACTATTTGTGTGTGTGTGTGTGTGTGTGTGTGTGTGTGTGTGTGTGTGTGTGTGTGTGTGTGTGTGTGTGTACACCATGGACCCCTGAACAATAGTCTGTGTGAGGATATGACAGTGGATTTCCTGGCATCATAACTGTATCTTCAGACAATAAAGATGCTTCAGAAGTTACTGATTCTTATTGTGAAAGCAAATTAATACTATGTTTTAAAATAATTTGCTTTCTTTTGAAATGGTGTAATGTAAATCCTTAAAAGTAGATAGTGAAATGGCTAAGTGATAGTGAGATAGGCCAGTGAGATGGCTAAGTGTGTGAAAATGCTTGCTATCAAGGCTGATGACTTATGTTTGATCTCTGGAACCCAAATAATGGGGGGAAAGAAAGAAGAACAGAAGGAAAAAAGTTGTCCTTTGAACCCTACCTATGGTCTTTGGTATGTGTGCACCCACATCCACGCATACAAATTAGTTAAATAATGTAATAAAATATATTTCTAAAACAGAACAAGTTTTCTTTGTGTAGATTGAAAATGAACACAAGACTGTCTAAAAAAGAGGGTCTTTGAGAGGCATGCATACATTCATATTTACCCACATAATAACCAAAGGGTGGAATGAAACCAAAAGTCTACAGATAAACAAAAACAACTGTAGGATGTTATTCAGCCTTTAAAGGGAAGTAAGTCTTGTCACGTGCCCTAATATGGATAATTTATAAATTCACTAGAAGACAGTTTATACTATGTGTCTACTTCTCTCAGGTATTAGAAGTAGTGAAATTCATAAAGCACACAAGGATGGCCTAAATCCAAGTATAGAATCAAGAGGCTATAAAGTAATTTCATGGAAAAGCCTCCCTTTAAGAAAATATAATTGTATCTCCAAAGACTAAATATACTAGAATAACTAGTTTTGATATAATGTGTATTTTATTCATGTATTTCATGTAAATTTCCTACACACAAACAGGACTTTTTCATCCTGCTATTATTGGTGTACAATTTATATAAGAATCTATGCAGAATTGCATTTTTTGCAATACACCTTTGCAATGCTCCTGCTGCCAGTCATTGATGCAAAAGAAATAAGAAATGCACCACTCAATAATTTATTTTAAAAATAAATTCTGAGCATTTCCCCTTTGGAAACTTAAGCAACAATTTGTTACTTAATTGTTTTGGTTTGTATCAGTGATGACTTTGAAATAATGTCAAGATCCTCCCCTCCTCTTCGGCCCTCCCCCTGCCCTATCTTGTCATCCCCTTCTTTCCCCTTATCTTCTCTTTTCTCCCCTACTCACTACACCCCCTCCAATCTCCTTCTCTCCCTTCTCTTCTCTTCTCTT